TGTGTGTGTGTGTGTGTGTGTGTGTGTGTGTGTGTGTGTGTGTGTGTGTGTACTCATCTCGATTAATATTTACGGAACTTGGGCTGATATAATCAAGATATCACAAATAAATATGAGATTGTTCACAACATATACTAGGCTGCAAGCTTTATTTGTTTTTTTTTTAATTTTTTTCTAAAATCTCTATTTCTGTTTTCGAAATATTACAAGAGAACTTTTTTCAAAGAAACTATTACAAGAGCAAAGAAGTTTGTTAGATCTAAAACGCATTTTGACAATGTAATGATTTCAAGGACAGATAGTTTATATACAGATAGTTTATAGTTTATTCTTGTAATAGCGGACTAAAAACTCAATCTATCAAATGTTTCATCGAGAACCCTGCAGTCGCAAACACAAATTCTGCAAGTTGATAAGTTCGTCCAGCAAAATGTACTGTTGCCGTAAAGCAACCGAGACAACTAATGAAATTCGAGAAAATTCGAGAAAAGGGTAGCTTGAACGATAAGTGAATCGCTCAATCGCTACTTACTCGAGTATCCTTGACTTCTGATTGGTTGATTCTGCTTACTGCTCGAGTCCCATGACGTATCTTTGTTACGGACCTGAGAAGTATCTTTTCTTTTTATTATGGTTACACCAATGAAAGGTCTGCGAATTTACGAATTCGAGATTTCCTAGATCGCCGCGCCACTCGGTGAGCGTTGGTAAAGCTAAAAGAGCCCTTATGGGCCTTATCTAGCTTTTGCTGAGGTCTTTCTTCTTGTAAAACTGTCATGTACGGTTCGTCGTGAATTGTGCGATTTGTGAAAATGAAACATGAACGAGTTCACGCAAAGTACGCGTTCGTGATGTAAGTATACGTATCGTGATCATGTGCGTAATTCTAACAGTCTAATAAAATTATCAAAATTAACGATATAATGTGGCTATTCGCGACATGAATTTCGGCCTAAGCATTCCATACAATTTCATAATTTTATTCGTATCTCCATACGCATTACCCTTCATGTTCGTTTTGCGCTTTGCTCGGTACATACATATTTTAATAGCAACAAAACGAACGTCTATGAAAACACGTGTTATGGTTTACACCCAAAGTTCATTACGCTATGGAACTCGACGAAATAAAGATTCGTTATGATTGTGACAATATACGCTATATATATATATATATATATATATATATATATATTATTTCTCGTCTCTCGAGGG